TAACGCCGAACGAGGAGGCTGCCAATTGTTCAGGTGATCAGCCCATTGTTCAGTGTATGATAAGCCACTGGTGTCAAAATCGGTAGAGGTTACCTTCGGCGAATAAGGCAACGACCTGGAGGCGGAGACAGGAGTCTAAGAACACGTACATATCACGGGCAGCAGCACACCGGAAAAATGAACAGTACCTGAAAGGAGCAAGTTGGATAGACGATGCCTTTGCCGCGATCCAGATTCACGTCACAACGAGGAACGAATCCATTTGCGTGAGGAGCGTTCATTGGGCAGGCGTAGTTTTGCATCTGGAACTGACCAGGCGTTGCGTACTCGCTGGTCGATGATAAGGACATCTGACCGTGGGTGGCAGCCGCTGCCGGGTACTGCATAGCCCTGGAAGAAGCGTAGTCGGCGAAATAGGCACTAGGGACGTTATGATGGACGGGACAAAGTACAGCAAATCTGTGTGGCGCAGGTGTTCTACCAGTGTCGCTCAAGGATCGGCTATGAACCAGTTCATTTTGGGTCAAATCGCATGAGCATGAATGGTTCGTCTCCTAAAACGTATCGCTATTATTCGTTAGTTTTCTTATATAATAGTTATCAAAACCTACAAATCAGCTGTGCTGTATCTCTACAGTATCTTATAACTGGTAGGAACTGTCTTCGAAGAATCAAAGTAATTAACTCCTGGTGGGAAACTCTACGCGGTTTTCAGCAGGATCACCTTTAACAAATTTCCAGCAGTAGGTTACCATTAGTACGTTTTAAATGACGTTAAGAAGGTGTGATCTACAGCCAGACTAACAAAGTTTTTCCATTCAACTGAACTGAACACTGTTTCATACAGATACTTCTATATTATTAAATGGTTCTTTTCATTTTGATACACAAAAAATATCGGTTCAGCTCTAGCTTATGACTAAGCAAGACAACCGATGAGCTCTCTGGAGCATTCGCCTCTTCATTTCATTCTAAAAAATCATCCGTAAATGTTGTTCAGATCATGTATTAAGTCATAAGACCGTGGCTGCAGTGTCAAAGGAACATCTGACTCTGACCCGAAAGTATCAGGGTTCGAGCCCCGGTCAAGTCATTCACCCTTTTTCCTTCCGAGGTTAATAAACGAGTACCACTCTGTGAGAAATAAATAGAAGAGACACGCCACGTATGTCAAAAAACTGCTACCGACTCTGTCTTTAAAATATTGCACTGAAGGGGTCGAAAAGTAGAATATGCGCCCAATCATTAACTTCCTGAACTTCATAAGGGCAGCAGGAATGGTACCATCATGAAAGTATAAGGAAGACCATTACTCACTTTCCTTTCTTCATTCCTTGTGCAAAGTTGAGTCGCAGTGATTTTCATTCAACTGCCAAACTTATCACAAAAACAAATCATTTTAGCCGTAAGATATGCCGTGTTTATCAACAAAATCTTTGTATTCTCATTTTCTATTGCATTTACTATTGGAACCTTTTCTATCTACTGCCTCACTTTTAACTTCAACGTTAAACAAAATTGTCCAATTAGAATTCGAGTACTTCCCGAATTACTATCCTCTCGGAAACCTTCTTCTGTTTTGATAAGACCAGTTATGCTTACAAAACACTTCGAAAGTACCATTTCGAGAACAACCATGTGGCGAACTGAATTCTTGTTTAAAAACAACGTTTAATTATTTTAAAAAAATTTGCCTTGATGAAGTCGTTTTTTAATGACCGTAATATTCTTCAAAATAGTAGATATTCTTTCAAAGAAAATTAAAGGTAATCTAAGCAACGAATTTTATTAAATTTCACATGCTAGATTAATATATAAAAACAAGGATTTTATAGGTTTACTAGCAACATTGTTACTTTTCGACACCGCTGGTTTCTGTTACTTTTGGATTTACACGGCGTAGGCGCACCGTCCCTATTTCTAGCGGTCTATGAGACCATAGTCTATTTAAATAAATTATTTTCATTTAATTATTGAAACACTTCAGTTTAAATTCAGGGAGAACGCAACCAGTTTTAAATGCGGAGCAGGATCCGCAACGATCTTGCATTTCCAGATGGCAAGCCATATGTGCGTAGGATCAAACTTTGTATAGTTGTCGTGCCGCTTCGTACTAAATGATGAGCTCTACATTTGGGTCCTGAATTGTGGCTGTTCATGATGTATTTTCAGTGATTTGGGTATAAATGTAAAATCACAAACATATGATGAGTTTTGACGGGAGATATAGACGAGGCAGCACCAATTTACTGACAATTTAATCATGTAACATATAAAACCATGGTAAATATATGTTGAATGTTTTTTCCTGTTTGTTAATCTAGGTACATATCCATTTCTACCGTAACTGCAGTCGAGACCTTAATTTTCCGCCAGGTGACAGTTTTGCTGGCGATACTGTTTGCATTGGCAACTGTACTGTATTGTATGATTCTTTACTATGCCGTGTTCCGTTTCGGAAGATCTGTTATTATCTGCCTTGAGGATACAAGCAATGCGTTCAGTGATCCGTTTCTTCAGGTTTGTAATACTTTCTCCAATTCAATTCTTTCCACACGAACAGTTTACCCGGTATACTATTCCGATATCCTTCTGCTTCGGAATGGTGACTCTGTCATATAAGGATTGCCCAGCTCGTTTACTCATCAGCAAATCGTAGTCACTGCGTACCTGTACATGAAACGTTCGATCGTTTCACTCAAGCTCTTCGGCATGAGACCACTTAGGAGAGAGCGGTTTCGGATTAGGTCACAAGGATGCTCATGTTCATGTTCTTCGCTTCATTTTTTGACTTTTTCACTCAAGCGAATAGCGACAGTGGTAACTTAAGGTGGCTGCGAAAAGCATTATGCACTTCTCCCTAAATCTCACTTCTGTAAACCTTCGGTTCGGATGCTCAGTGGTCGTCTTTACGAGATAAGAAGTCATGATTAATACTAGAAGAGCTGCGTAGCAGAGAGTTCAATTTATCTAAGTAAAATTTTTTATAACTGTGTACCTTTTTACTATTATTAACTAAATTATTACTAAATTCTTTAATTATTTAACCCTTATCTTTTCTCAATAACCA